TCAATTTATGAAATGTCCCATGAGCCTTTGCTATTTGAGCGTAAAGCAGACGTTCTCCAAGTGAACAGACTAAAACAAAAGAGGGTCGTTGCACCRACTGCTAGCTTAATCGGTAAAAATAAAGGACTTTACTTAAAAAGTATTTGTATTTCATGTATTCTATTACTGCATCTGGCCCACAGCCGTGGATAGATTTTCATGTTGGCCCTCTCGGGAAAAATGTTTGGTCACCTCTGAACTAGACTCATTAAAACTTTAAAAATACAACTACTTGTGTAGATTACAGCTAAACAGAATTCGTTGCATATTTTGTCACTTTTGTGCTTCAGCGTTTTAATTATTGTGTCGTTTTGTAAATGACACAAAATAAACATTTTATTGATGTCATTTATGTCACTTATATATATATCACTTTAAACAAAGATTGTTAGAGACAAGCAACAAAAAGCATAAATCATAAGAGGCGTGTAAAAAAGAAAAGAATTGAGGCGAAAAGGGTCAGAAAATATGAGTGATTTATTCAAAGTGTATAAATTAACACATAGTTTAGTCTGTTCATTATAACTCTCTTAAAAATAAAAGGACTGAGAGGATGTGATTTTTTTTRTCAAGATAAATAAAATGTCTAATTATCTAAAAGAGTTTGTTTAGTAACAGATGTGTTTATTGTTTCATCACAATATTAATCCTACATGTAATCCCACCTTATTTAATTTGATRTTTTACATTTAATCTTGTGCTTTTATTTGCACTTTATGCAACCATGTGAGCTTTAGTGGCTATTTTGTGTTTTTTTTCCCACAATAAACTTGACAATGTATTTCACAATTTTAAAATATTTGTCTGCTTAATAAAATGTAGATTAAAAAAATCTTTTAGGTGCAACAAGACAGGTGCTTTGGAGTAAGTTTGTACGCTCTGCGTTGTTTGACTTACGGTTCTGAAACCRATGAAAGAAAAGGAGAATAATGAATTTATTTCAAAGATTTAGTTTATTACAAATGAAGCTGCACAGAATAACACAAAACAGTTTCATTCTTTTAAATATTTAAGGACTATTTTTAAAATAAACACATTGGCAAAGGAAATTAGTGTTTGATAGATTATTTCTTTGTTGTAACAACTCTTTTTGTCAGTAAATCTTATAGAAAGCCTGTTTATTTCCTTTTAAATGGTGCAATGAGAAGCCAGGCTGTTGTGGCTGTGTATGGTTCTTCCACACGCTGGTTTGTAACAAAGTTGATAAAATGTTAAAGTGAAAATTTGACAAGTTTTTTATGGCAACTACTGCTCAACCCACAAATACATTTTCCTAGAAAATATGGCATTATTTAGGAAAACAACACGTTTTATGCTATGAGCAGTGGTGGGCAGCACTAATCTAAATATTAGTTGCACTAACCCTAAAGCACTAACTCAAATATTTAGGTCCCCTAATTGGGTTCATATAGTGTCACCTGGTGGATCAGTGACTCTCAGAGATTCTCAGTTGGATTGAGGTCTGGGCTTTGACTGGTTATGTAACAAGTTCTTAGGGTCAGCATTAGCTCACATCAGCGCCCGATATTTAAACACAAAAAAC